GAAACGCCGTCTGTGCGTGCTCTCGCGTCTCTCGTCTCTCCAGAACAGGACAGGAGTGAAGGAGAGGGAGAGCACAGCGTTCGTTAATACCCGCTTCCGGCACGTGGAACCGCACCGCCGCACTCTGTTTTTCTTCGCAGCGCATCGCTGCCGTCGCTCCGAGCTTCTCTCGCGGGAGGTCAGCACCTAGGCGGTGGGTAAGTGAAGAATCCACGCTCTCGGTCGCAGCAGACAGCACACCTTTCGCACCAAGGACACGCATAACCTTTCGAGAACCGTAAACGACGACTCGTCTTTATTGGCTTTACACCGGTGGAACGAACGAACGCGACACTTGTTGCACGGTTTTCTTGACTTCTCTGACTCCGAGAGTAGAGAAAATTTCACGTTCTTTTTTTCTCTCTCTCTCTCTCTCTTTCTAGAAAGGAGATTCTCGGGCGGTCGTTTGTCAGTTGATTTTGATCGGAGACATCGTCCTCGAATCGTATTGATTCGACGAGGGTGCTGTCGCTTGATTTTTTTCATCGTGAGAACGCTGGTTGGGTTGCGGCAGCCTATATCTGTGAGAACGTGAGAACGTGGAATGTCGCGACACGCGGAGATAAGACAAAAGTCAACCACTTACTCGGCGGGGGTGGTTTCCCCGCGCTTCGCTTGTTTACGAATCATCGTGCATCGGCAACCACGTGGTTCTTGTGCATTACGTGCCTCTTCAGTTTAAAGAAAAACGGAGCAGCGTGGAAAACACGAATCTTCTAGAATCACGGATTTCAATTCGTAGTTTGATGGTAATTGGATCCGCCTTATCGAGTAATCCAGTTGCTAGAAGTGCACGTGTACGTTTTATCTGACGCAAAATTATTTCTATTTTCATTTGCAATTGTTGCGCATGTAGCATTCCGTTTAACGATTACGAAAGGTATTTCGATATTCAAACTTGTACTATTTTGCCCATCAGTGATTAGAGAATAATTATCGACATTGAAAAGTGTATAATAATTAGAGAACAGTTGTCTGAAAATAGATTGATTACGTTTTTCTTCTACTAACTGAAATCTATCATTCTGAAGCTACTGAAGCAGTGAAAGGATATCGATGCGAGATTATCACAGAAAAATTCCACACCACACGAAAAGAGCTCTCTCTCTCTCTCTCTCTCTCTGTCTATCGTGACTTGGCTTTTCCAACGTTCGATCGTTTATCGTTTCTACTTCGACATCTTTTCCCTCTTTTTTCGAAACGATCATGCGTGATGTGCTGCACAATCCGTGGCCAGCCGATTAGTCATCGTAAAAAGATAAATCAATAAGCGTGCTCGGCTCGAGCGGGTGATCCCCGTGTTGGGTAATTGGTCGTTTTTCCGTGACTAGGATCTCCGAACGGAGAGTCACATTCGTCGCCCCGGGTCGAATCGTAAATTCCGGATCGATAGTAACACGGCTGTGTGATTCTCTGTAGTTTACATTGACTCACACGCGCTTCTCGGAGCGTTTAGTCGATTGGTCGCTACGGCTTAGAAATGGTAGTGAATGGCAGGGCTGATAAGTGTTCGTCACGTGAAAGAGCCGAAAGGCCAGAAAGTTAGACTGGGACAGAGAGTTCGTGTCAACCCCATGAATAATCTGAAAATTTACTGGCGCCTTCGTGTTTACTTTATTCGTCTATACGAATACGTTCCCTGCCTCACGTTGTCTTCGTCTGATATCTATATTATTTCCTGTCCTGTGTCTAATTTCCAACTCGACGATCGTCCACGAAGTCGCTGGTATTTCTCTCGCATGAGCAACCGAAATGTTATTAATCGTGGATTTAATTATTCAACGTCTCAAACTTGAAACATTAAAAGGCTCGAGCAGAGTACGAGTAAATTTCAATCTTTTAAGTATCAATAACATTTAAACGTTAAGTATTAAAAAGAGTGCAGGTTTTGAAAATTTTTGAATTTTGAGTGAAATCGGGCATACGATGTTTCTCCAGTTGAAAGAAATCACCGTAATATATAAATTCTGTAATTCTGTAGAATACGTATATACGTAGATGCGATGGTAGAGGAGGAAGGATTGTAATGATGATAATGGCCGATTGATAAATTGTTCACGTTCGTTTAAAAAAACCGTCCATTCATTCCGTCATTCATCGTATAACTGGTTCGTGCTACTTTTAACAAGCATTTCAAACTTCAGGATTTTTTTTTTTTTTCGATTTACTTTACAAGTAAGTCTTTATCTCCTCGTGATACACACGTAGCGCGTAAACGCGTGTAGTGTAACACGTGTAGCATCGTGGTCGAAGATACACAGAACAGAACAACATTGAGCAATCGAATGTGCCAGCTTCGCACAATTGGAGAATCATTTGCCGATAAAACGAATCTCGTGTCACGTTGTAATCGAATTTAACGAGTCGGAGCACTCGTCGTTAGCCTACTCACGAGATAATACGAAAGTATGATACACAAAGTAGATGTTTACATTCCTTGCATTTCATTCGACGGTTTCGTTCCTTATCTTCTATCGAGTCGGATAGAAGCTTTCGTATGTTATCGTTCCCTTCGCTGGCCACCACCACGCTCCAGTTTTTCTTTTGTAATTCCCAGAATCGCGTTTGCATTCCTCTACTACTTGTTCTTGGTTGCCAACGCGAGACACGAGGCACGAGTTTCCCCAGAGATTCCCCTTCTTCCTTTTTCTCTTTTAATTTTGTCGTGGGAGAACATTTTCTTTTTCAGCGAACGAAATGATACATTGGAAACAGGTGTGTGGCCCTGGCGGAGATAGTGTTACATGGAAACTCTGGGAAATTTGTATTTAGATTCGAGAGCTTTCCAGAAATTTGGAATTTGTCGTTGCTCCTCTACGCGTGGTTTTATTTTTTTTAACTTTGTATTTTTGTCGAGGTAGGAAGTATAATCAACAAGGCTTAGATTTAGAGAAACTTCGTCGTTTCACTTTGTTAATCGGTTCACGTGGTTTGAAGCTTGTAGGAAGTTTGAAACTCACCACTATTCCACATTCTGTGATTTTGTTCGAATTATTGAGAATTAGCAACGAAATTCGCTGTTGAGGAAACGTTTGTTCGAAATCTGTTGAAATCATTGAGATAGTTTCACTTGCAGAAAGCTCCTTATATAGTTTCGCACGATGTGACGTTTGTCACAATCTCGCTCCATTTTCTGCACATTTTTACACGGTCTTATCACAAAGGAAGTTGATAAAAATAATTTAATCAAATAGCTACAAAACTTCCTCCACAAAGATGACATTTTATACGTAATACTGATAACTTTAAACAGAAACTTTAAAGATAAGTTTAAAAAGAAATCGCAAAGCTCTATTTTTACATAAATTTACTCCTCGTTATATATATATATATATATTTTCGAGTATCCAGTTGTAGGATAAATACAAATTTAAAAGCCACATACTACTTGATAATATTGTGTATTTCGTTATACACGCTTACATGTATATATACAGGCTGCTACATTTATGTAAATATTACGAAACCATAAATAGCTACTATGTTGCCTTCCCCATGGTCTTTAGGTTAAACTACATTCGAATTTTCTTACTTTATCACACAAGTTACACAACAAAAAGTAGGTCTTCGTATCTTCCTACGCAACCCAGTATTATCTTTCACGCCTTCTTCATTCAACTTTTGTTAATAGTACATAGCGTACGAGGTTCAGCTATCCTGTATATGCAGACGAGGGCAATATACTGTGCCCCGTAACTGTGAAACTAACAATTAAGATTGCCTTGTAGTTTTTGAATACTTCGCGTAGTATATCTTGTGTTGGTTTTATAATTATTTATAGTTACGAAACAAGAATAAAATCAGCTTTTTATCATTTTTCTTCTTCCTATCTTTCTCGGAAGGAATAACTTTTCATCGAAGCAGTACGATTTCAAACACATGATATATTCCGGTTTTATTAATTATTATGTAGTAATATAAAAATTGAAAGCTTTTGGCTGATTTTCAATGCACATCACATTTTCTTAATTTATCTGTTATTTCTTAAAATATCGTCTTCACCTTTTAATCCTAGGAAAAGAATTCTGGATTTTACACTTGGAAGAACTGCCTATAACTTAATGAATGTGAAAGAACAAACGTCTCAAAGTTTCTAGAAATGTAGTACAGAATTTTTGTTCTCTTTTTGGCTCTGGGTAGCCAAAGGAAACAAAGGATATTAAGAGACCCTTCTTACTTTGAGTCAACGATGAAGCTACGGCCATTATACGAACGCAGGTGCATGTGCAGATGTCGGTAGCAGACGGTGCAACATGATCGTGTACGGTACACGAAAAGCCTAAGAAGAATTAAAACTATGTTCAAATATATCATATATTCCTACCTGTGTGTTCCCTATATTTCCCACAAACGTGTAAACGTATTATTTTCTTGAAGATAATGGCTTGTATTATTTTCATCAAAAATTTGATTTCCACTGTCTTTTTGCCCGTCCATAGACGTCTCAATACCATACTCCAAGCTAATATTTACTTACGTGCTGATAATCGCCAGAATCCAGTTGGAATTATTGAATCGTCGAATGCCGTGATTAAACAGGTGTAATAAATCGTCTCGTTTAACCTGTCAACGTTTTACACTTGCACGATAGATAATTCGCTCGTAATACCGGAAACTTCATACATCAGTTTCTTCCTCTGCTTTTTCAGGTAGAGGTCGAAATGTTGTGATGGCTGGAACATCACGACGTCCGAGCTCAGAGCTCGGACCTGACCTGTCTTCACCGACGCCGCCGAAGAAGTCCAAGTTCTCCGAGACGTCGATCGAGGGAACAACCGAGAAGGAACATGACCTGAGCACCGAGGAACTCGAGAGCGTGGAGAAGGAGTTGACCAGCTCGTTGTCGGGCAACACGATCGAGTTGATACCAAGCAGCGCGTTGCAGACGAATCCCTTCAAGATCAGCGAGGAATCGTTGGACAACACGAAGCAGCTGATTCGAACTAGCTTGGAGGGGCCTGTGAACGTGACGGCTGGCTCTTCGAAGGAAGGACACTTCGGTAGTTTCGAAACGATTATACAAATGAAGTACAGCGGCCAGGAAGAACTGTCTGGCAGCTCTAGCAAGAGATCCGAGTCAGATAACAGCGTGAAAATCCAGACGTTGATCGGAGAGGATGCGTCGTACCAGGAATTGTCTTTGATTGGCAATGGAGCTTATGGTACGGTTTATAAAGCCAAAGACTTGAACACGGGACAAGTCGTGGCGTTGAAGAAAGTTCGTGTGCCTCTGACAGAAGATGGGCTACCCACGTCTACGTTGAGGGAAATCGCAACGTTGAAGCAACTTGAGAGATTCGAGCATCCTCATATTGTAAGTGTATATTTTCATTAGAATTGATTATGATTATATTACCGAAATTTCGGCTGTTTAATTTTAATTTTCTATTTTACACTATTCCAAAGTTTAGCAAGATTTAATTTGAATTTGAATTTATTATAATAAATTTTTTGTCACGCTCGCAGGTAAGACTATTGGACGTTTGTCAAGGAAATTATCTACATTTGCCTTCTATCGATGGAACGTCCGATAGGCTAGATCGAGGGCTGACGTTGTGGCTGGTGTTCGAACACGTGGAACGAGATCTAGCATCTTACATGTCGTCCTGCTCGCGGTCAGGTATTGCCGCTCATCTTCTGAAACAAATGTCGAAGGAGATACTCCGAGGAGTGGAGTTTTTACACAGTCACAGGATCATTCACAGGGATCTGAAACCTCAGAATCTGTTGGTGTCTAGGGAAGGGAGAATAAAGATCGCGGATTTTGGACTGGCAAAAACATACGACTTTGAGATGAGATTGACTTCTGTGGTAGGTTGATACGAATTATACATCTTAGTATTAAATCACTGAAATTATTGACAACCGTAGGTGGTGACGCAGTGGTATCGCGCTCCAGAAGTCCTTTTAGGCTGTCCCTATGCCACCCCTGTTGACATTTGGTCCGTGGGATGTATATTGGCAGAATTGAGTCGACTCGAACCATTGTTCCCAGGTACGAGCGAAGGTGATCAACTCGATAGAATTTTTCAGTAAGTTAATGAAAATACTTATCGTTTCTGTTTTTTTTTTTTGTTTCTCATAGAAAAGAATAATTGAAATTCAAATTTATTTTAATTGTTCTGCAGAATAATTGGAACTCCGTCGCAGGGAGAGTGGCCACAAAATGTGTCTCTTAATTGGACAGCTTTCCCTAATAGACAACCGAGACCTCTTGTAGCAATAATACCTGATCTCAATGAACATGGACTAGATTTAATTAAAGGTATGCTTATGTTTGATCCTCATAGACGATTAACCGCAGCACAGGCTCTCAAACATCGGTATTTCACTGAGGATGATTCGTGATGATTATTTAAATATTTTCTTTTCTTTTCTGTCTCGAACATTTTTAACAATATCTCAAAAGCAGACTGACGTTACGATATCCAAAAATACGTAAGCATATTGTTCTTTTTTTTAAAGAACGTCGCAGTACTTTTATTTTTAAGCAGATAAGTGTAGTTCGTTACGAGTATGATACAATAGAGATCTTTGTAACTATGTTACAAGGCTTATACATATTCCGTTGTCATTTAGAAATTACAATTGCAAAATATGTTTGCTACACTTTATGGAACGATCATCATATTTAAGTCATACAGCCATTCCGTTGCGTCGAAAAATCATCATAGTTCAATTATACGTAGACGTTAAATAATGTAAAAAATAACGGTTCTTCTGACTTGTCTGATCTGAATTAGACAACCATATAATTTCCATTGTTTGCGTATCTAGCGATAACAATATTGATACATTATTTATTTAGGTAATATCTAAATAGTATTTCTATCGTTACTTTTATGGTCGTAATTCTGATGAATCTAATTATACTGACATTTCATTTACTTTATACCTCTCGATTAGATGATATTTTCTTGTAGGAACAAAGTAGGATTTATGTATGCGCACCAAAAATAATTTCGTATAATAGTTAACAAGGTGTGCCTTCCAAAGTCGCTCGAACGTTCGTAATCCATGCCTTAATTTTCTATGTAATTAAGCTTAACCATAAAAACATACTATTAACTAGCGTTATTCTTGTAAGACTGGGGCCTATTGACCCGTTAGATTCGTCGAAAGAACATAGGATCTCCCGTAAAAAAAAAACCAGAAAGTACACTGCCATATGTATGTAAAACAAGTAACAAATAGTGTTTAATATTGTATTTTATCTTATCAGTATGTGTATAAATCTTAATACTACTAATATATATATATATATATATATATATATATATATATATATATATAT